GCTGGGTAGGTAAAGATTTTTTTGGTAAAGATGTTTATTTGACGAAGATAAAGTACAGCATTATAGTGAAGGTCAAACTTAATCTTTAAAAAAGTAATGTATAATTATAACATGATAACTTTTAAGTTCTTTTTAAAAGGAGCGCATGTTGAATTATATAGAATTTATAGATTTAAAATGTTTTTACTTTGGTAAAGAGATTTGGTATTTTGGCCCAAATACGGTACCTTGTGCAGCAGCTGGGATTCAGGAGAATCACCAGATCCCCAAAGAATGCCGCTGTATCAATGGACACATTTATATTTACCCTAAGTGCAAGTACCGTATTTAGTCAGAATTATCTACAATTATTATTTTGGGAAATCATTTATATCACGATTATGAAAAACAAATATCCATTTACTTTGAAAACATCCATTTATTGAAAAATATGTTTTTAACAGTTGATTACCCTGAACTTTAAGTATAATTCAACTGAAACAAATTACGTTGTTTACGTAAATGTTACAAGCCAAAATCGAGATTAAAATACGATTAATTGCACAGCCCTACTCTTCGGCATACCTCGATCATGCCCCCTCTTGTTTTGAGTTGAGTTATTCTTATCAGTTACATTTGATCTTTCTTTCTCCTCCCCAAAGTGTCAATTACCAAACGACACAGTGGTTTTTTTTAAAAAAAAGTGAGTCAGTGGACATATTTGAAAGTCTATAAAGTGAAGTTTTGGAGTCTCTGAAGTGTAGGAATTCAACTGAGCTTGCACAGCAAATGTACTTCCTGTCTGAGTGCCGGGTCAGGGTTCAGCAGAAGGACAGGATCTTCCAGGTTATTGTTTTCCTCTCCCAACACAATGCTTCCAGGTAAAGAGTTTGAACAATATGGCTCTTGTATAAGCCAGTGACAGACAGGAGGATGTAACGGGGGATGGAGAGGTGGGGGAGAGGAAGGAAGGCAGAAAAAGAAAGGAGGGGAATACTCAAGGCCACGCAGGCAATTTGATTGCCAGGCAGGCAGTGTGTCAGTGTGTTCTCTTTGCTTTTCCCACTCAATCATTAAAAGAGGAAACTCATAACTGCATTCCTTCCCACTGATCTGAGAGCTAGCTGATACGAAGGGCAAAGTGTTACCAAGAGAAATCAAACGAGGGAGAGGACAGAGAGCTGTTGCTATTCTCAATGGCACCAACTCCTCTTGTTCACTTGGATTGACCTATCCGCAGCACAGGCCGTGAGGATAGCCTCTGAACATGTCACCAACGCCCTCACACATTACACACCAGGGAGCTACGTCTGGGCAACATTATCAAACCTTTCCTCTCACATAAAACACAACCAATAGTTCTATGAGCAAACAAAAGGCATGTGCAAACAAACATGAAGTCTGAGACGAGACGCAAATTGAGTGGTGAGGCGATGACATTTTTTAACAGGAAGGTTAGCATGTCAAGGGCTCCTTCAACAACAAAGAGTGAGATGTTCTATTGGATATCAGAGTATTGGAGAATAGAATATATAATATTCACATGCATTTCCACATTGAAGCTGTCCAAACAGCTAACAGTCCTTTATCCTGAGGTCTAGCACTCTGTCCCGCATGGAGGGAACGCACAAAATGCCCCAGATCATAAAAGGTCAGAAATGATAGAGTTGAAAACAATTAGTAAAATTAAAACAAGTCAATCTTTTAGGAAATTAATCGGCAACTATTTTGATAATTAAAGTAATTTCCCAAGCCAAACTGCTTAACAAGGATTAGTTCCAGCTTTCTCATTTCAGGATGTTCTGCTTTCACATGTCCTCCATTACAGTAATTGTGACATCTTTCACTGTGAGACAAAACAAGATATCTGATGTCACATTTGGCTCCAGAAATGGATTTTACATGTTTTATAGACCAATATAAAAAGTATTAAAACGATACCTGAAGCCATAGCGTGTTTAGGTGGAGTGAGAGTGTGTGGACTTCCACATTGTATCACATTTAAGATGCAAAGGTGGCTGGTGTAAAGAGGTTCAAATCTGCCTGACATGTCCTCTCATTTGGAGTTTGGCATTCCCTGAAGCAGTTTCGTTTCTGATCAATTGTGACAAATGCATCACATAAAGCTGTAGTAACATGCAGGATTCAGTTCATCATCAAATAGAGAGTTCCCACAGCACACATGTGAGGTCAGTGATCAAGGTGTTGTTTTCACCTCACTAAAGGTTGGCAATAGTTCCTTATTAGTCAGTGTCTTATCGTTTTCTGTTGCGTGTGTGCATGCAACATATGTCTTAACCATATTATTAGGTGACTGTTGTTATAAATGAATTAACTGTTAAGTACCAGACTAACAGAACTAGGTAAACTGACCTTCATCAGTAAAGGGGAAACAACACAAACCACATACCAGTAAATATTGGTTGAGGCCAGTGAGGTTAATATTCAATCAGACATTCTGGCACATGTCCAGTCTTTGTTTCTGAAGTTCTTAGAATCCTGTAGGGAAGTGGCCTATGGAAACAGAACAGTAACTGGGGCATTGGAGCCTCTGGGTTAAATAACTTGTCCATCTAATCACAATAGCCCCAGTTCATTTCTCGCTGGGGACCTTTGTTGCATGTCATCCTCGCTCTCTTTCTCCTCTCATTCACTTTTTGCTCTGTACTATCCACTATGAAAATATAAGGAAAAGAAAATGCAAAAAAACAATCCAAGACTTTAGGGCTGTCCCGAATACCATTTTCTGGGCTCCGGATATTCGGTAGTAATCAGCAGCGAATACCCGAATAACGAGATTGAAACCCGAATAGTGCACCAACGAACGAATAATCGAATATACGGGCACAGCCCTACAAGACTGACGAATGAAGAATGGAGTACAGACCAGACAAAGCACCAGTATTTCCAACAACCTAATGCTATGAATCAAAAGTCCAGATGGCTGATACATTTGTATCTTTCAACCACCAGTAGCAGGATGCATGATGTTTGCATGAAGCTAAGTATACAGCTAGCAAAATGAGGAGCTCACAAAGCTCAGACATGTTCTAACAGAACTGAGATATGTTCACCAATGAGCCACCTCAGGAGAGGCATACCTAAGAACAATACAAAGAATGACAAGTGAAACTAGCTTCCTATAAATAGACACTGGTAAAGTAGCCTGTTGTGGTTGATTTGCATATGGAGTGATTGTCGAGTATTATAATGGGAGGTCAGTTTTACTCCTAAACAATATCATTCTTTATAACACTTTTTTCTGTAATGACATTTCAGTATGTTTTTGTATACTATTTGCTAATTATTTTTTTTTTTATTTAATTCAGTTTCATATGTCTCTAATTACTAAGTAAGCAACAGCAACTTGGTTTTTAGCATGTCAAAAACACCCTCTTCATGAAGGCTAAGCAAGGCTGGGCTTAAAACCTGTTTAACTACATAGCACAGCTCTTGAACAAGTCTTACTGCAAACAACCACAGAAACCACAGAGAGCACATCCGACAAGATGCATGAGGCTGGTTTCATGATACAGTAGACGTGTGCAATACACTGACAGTCTGTGGCTTCTGATCTGCTTTCATTGCCTAGTGTTTTACATTTGTTTCATGTCCCGTCTGTTTTTTATGTATGTATGCTATGTTTTTATACAGTGGTTGAGCACTTTGTTCAAATCTAATGGGTTGGACATAGATCAGAGTGCTTTCTCTACATGTAGTCATCACAACCACTCTCTGCGACCAGGTTCTTTTTAAACATGTGCATCACAGATAGAAACCATCTTTGATTGTTACTACAAGGTGTTCAAGTTTGCTAGTGAAATGCCCTGATTACATGATGTCAGCATAAGAAACGGAATCCTTCATCTTAAGAAGCAGGTACGTGTAATACCCTATTGAAGATAGGGTCATGAGTCCACCCCAAAAAAAGTTCCTGAGTCCATTTTGTTCCAATGTAAAGTGGATATAAACTAAGCATGACATCCATTTGACTTTGGGGACTTAGAATAAGCAGTGGTGGTAAAAGTACTACATTCGTATACTTAAGTAAAGTAGCAATAATACATTTGAAAAAAGAATTGAAGTCACAAAGGTAAACTGATTTATTATGCGTAATAGTCCATTTCAGTATCACATATATTAAACATGGGGATTTTGATTATTGATGCATTAGTGTGCCACATCTATTAAAAAGGTGGAGCTCATTGCATTTCCTTTGTATGCTGCTGTTGGATAATGATGTCAATGTTTATTTATATTTTTATAAGCTAATCATTGTAATGTGCAAGGTAACTATAATTGACAGATACATGTAGTGGAGCAGAAGTGTAAAGTAGCATAAAAGCAAATACTCAGGTAAAAAAAATCATACTTAAGTACAGTACTTAAATAAATGGACCTTATTACATTCCACCACTGACAGTAAGACTGTCACCGTCAGAAAGGAATGCAAGTCAGCACAGTCTGGACAAATTCTGCACAATTCAATTTACATATTTCTTAAATCAGACCCACACAAATGTCAAAGAGGAAGTTAACACATACTAAAGTTATCAGAAGAAGCTAACTTGCCATATGGAGTTTCCTGTCTGTGGAGTTCTGTCGACGCCTAATGCTTCTGCAATGAGCTCTAACTTTGTAAAACAGAGCACAAACTGTCACATAAATAACCTAGAAACTTCAAGCAACTTATATTACAGTAGTTTTGGGGCATATGGTCGTTTAACATAGGCTGTGTAGACATTTTAAAATGAGGTAGCTCATGTTAACATTAGCTAAACCTGCAGTAAAAATCCAAGGATGGAGGTGGCGTTATCCAGTTATCCAGGCAGCTAGCTGGCTAGGCTAACAAGCTAGCAAACTGGCTTGCACACTTTATACCCTTCCCGGCAAACACTGATAGTATGGTTTATGTCACTGACATCTGGTTAAATGACTCACGAGTGTTCGACTTGCTGTGGAAGTAGAGTCAAGAAGTAGGAGTTAAACACAACACAAGCGCCACATCATGGAAAACTCACCCATTCCTCCTCTCGCACCGCCTCGCTATCAAACGTTAGGAATGTCTTATCCAGCAGCAGCAGCCTCACTGCTAGCTAGCTAACAAGCCAGGTAGATGTAATCAACAAAAGTGTCGATTCACTGCCGAAAAATAAGTAGAGTTAGCCGTATATCCATTAGTCCTTGACCCAGCAGCAGCAGCGTCCCCGCTTCCCTCCTGGTGGTGCTTCAAAATGATTGTCAGGAAGTTAACCCAGGAGTCTCCACCTTTCTTGGACTAGTCTCCACGGGTTGTTGCTGCCCGCTGCCCGCTGCCTGCCACCAAAATACAAAATAGCAGGAAACTTCGCGGTGATTCTGGCGGTTAAGTCGCGCGAGAGGAATATTTAATGGAATGTTAATCCCCCTTTTTTTATTGGCTCATTCAGCAAGTACAGTAGATACTGTAGTTCACGTGTGCGCGCCCGTGCGTGTGGGTGAGAGAGACTTAATTCACTCACTCCAGCTCCTCCCAACTATGATGGTTGTTATTTACTGAATCACTAGTCATTAGGGTTTCACAAATGTTATGGGAATGGGAAACAAGTCCACCCATAAAAACATTACAATACAAATACTGCTACCACTCATATGAAATGATGATGTCTATATCCACAAGTCTTTATCTTGTATAGAAATGCATGTTGACAACAGAGTTCTTCTGTTCAAATGAGTTGTCACAGCTTGAGGACAATGTAAGTCTTTTTAAATCATTAACATCCAATAGGGGAAATTCACATTAGACCAGCCCAAGCAGAGAGGTAAGAAAACAGCTACATCAGAATCAGAATCAGAATTCCTTTGTTTGTCCTGCAACAAAGACATTTACATATTCATTCAATTATTTTTATTTATTTTTGTTTTTCTGTCAGGCCATCTATTTGGCCCATCCCAAATGAGATATCAAGGCAGCAACATTGTTTAATTATATAAAAAAGGGTGTATCCCAAATTGGGGGGGGGGGAAGAAGTCTAGTATTGCACCAGCAGCCGTTATGTGTGAACTTTATATATGTATTACTCAAGTTGTAAAAAAAAATCAGGGGGGATGGTGGATTTTATCATATGGGGACATAATGTGTGCTGATAACCCGCAGAGGGTGGGAGACCAACCAGCATAAAGATCATTATTATACTCCTAAAACAACATGCATGTTATGGATGTTCAGATACTCCTTTCATTGCTCTTGACCAAGGCACCTCAGAATTAGAGTCGGTCCCCGGGCTGCCATGGCACCACTAACATTTAGGGTCAAATGCAGAGGACAATTAGTGCAACATCTTTTTTTCACTTTAATTTAAAGGGGGGGGGGGGATACAAAAATGTGGTTATAATGGAAGTCTATGGTACAAATCTTATAGGTTAACAGTCCCTCATTTATTATTCAGATGGATCAGCTGATTATACTAATAATAAAGTCCAAATAGTTTTTCGAATATTGAATTATAGTGTATTTTTTCAAAAAAGCAGTTACTGGTATACGATCAAAACTGGTATCTAAAGGGTTACATTTGTATCGTAATTAATTAAATCATTATGTAAATTCTTCATGAAAAATGTGAGGAAAAAAATTAGAAAAATATTGATCCATCATCATTTTATTGCAGTTCAAATACAAATATTTTATGTTAACATTCCCAATGTTACTTTTTTTAACAGGGCATTAAGTGCAAATTGAAATTGTTTACAAAATATGAAAATATATTAAAAGATTATACTGATAATACAAAATAGGACCAATGTTGTCAATGGCTGCCTACTCCACTCTCCCCCATCTCATAGAAGTTTCCAAAGATTTTCATAATCATGTTTTTTGGTCTCAATTTTTCTGGCTCTTGCTTTCGGATTGTTAGCAATGTCTTTGAAGCCAAGTCTTGACATATACCTCTGGTCTGAACTTGTTCAGTGGAGGGCCAACACACTTGATGAAAAGCAAGGCTGACATGCTTTTTACCTCTAGGGAGCTATAGTTGTGGTTAAAATGTTCATCTGACTAAACCCACGTTCACACTCAGCTGGAGATGACCAGAGTGTTCACTGCTTGAAGGAGGGGTTTCAGCTCTTCTGGTGCTGGTGGTATCATTTCATCAACAGTTTTGAGTCTGACCAGCTAGCTAACACGAGAGAAAAACGTAGCTAAACTCCAAACTAAGTTGTTATTGCTGCTTATGTCCATAGATTCCACCTTTGGTGACTAAAGTAATGAGTAATGACTAAGATTACTGATTCTTGACTTACCTGAAATGTTATTTTTAGTATTTTTAAATATGAAGTCTCTCAGATCGCGTTGTCCTCCTGGTTGCTTGGCCATTGTGATGACCGTTACCTGCGCTTCTGGCATCAATCAAACAGGCGCATCACGGCGCTCTGGCGCCCTCTAGGGCACTCGCATAGTATAGCGTCAGTGACTTGGTAAAAATGTTATTGCATGTGTGCGTGCTCCCTCGCCAGTGGTGTAGTGGGCGTTGGACGCGGGGGTACGCCGTACCCCCACTTATTTGGAGCATGATCTTTTTTTTGATTGTCTAATAAATATAAAATCATTGCCAGTGTTATCAGTTGCAAGTGTGTATTTGTTGTAATAATGACAAAAACATAATACATTTCACAGTAATTATAATACAAAATAAAAACGATTTCCTTAAAATATGATGATTCGTCATCACGCTTGTGACCCCGCGGCGAGCTGGGGGTGTGTCAGTGATTTGGCGGCAGCTCTTTCCCTCAAGAACGCTAACGAGAAAGCTCTACAATGGCAGGCAAACATTCTATACTTGACTTATTTTCTAAAAAGAATATTATTCACAAAAAGAAAGAGGCTAGCAGCACCGAAGCTACAAGTGAAGCTGCTACTAGTACATCATCAGGAGAGCTGCCTAAAGATGTGGATAATGCCATCACTAACGTCAACGTTAGCTATGCTAGCAACGTTGCCCTAGCTAGCTCAAGCTCACCTTTCCCAGATGCATGGACGGAGGAGATTTAGCGGAGGAAACAAGAGGCATACCCGTGGATACACTGCAAAGCTGGGAAACTGGACTGCAACGTGTGTTCATCCATTTCGGATTTATCAGTCTTCAAAACGCAAGGTGTGTGTGTGTGTGTGTGTGTGTGTGTGTGTGTGTGTGTGTGTGTGTGTGTGTGTGTGTGTGTGTGTGTGTGTGTGTGTGTGGTGTGTGTGTGTGTGTGTGTGTGTGTGTGTGTGTGTGTGTGTGTGTGTGGCAGCGCTGTCTGCTTATTTGCAATGTAGGCTAGGCCTCATCAGAATAATTTCAAAGTAGGCTATATTTTTCGAGAGAGAGAGAGAGAGAGAGAGAGAGAGAGAGAGAGAGAGAGAGAGAGAGAGAGAGAGAGAGAGAGAGAGAGAGAGAGAGAGAGAGATAGAGAGAGAGAGAGAGACGCGCTGTCTGCTTAGTTGCAATACTGTAGCTCAAGCATTTATGCAATTTAGGCCTATACATTGTTTATGTAACTTGTGTGTCCATGGTTTTGAGTCTATGTGTGTGTTGAGCGCACCGCCGTCTGCTTTTTGCAGTACAGTAACTAAAGTAGGACTAAGCATACCGGTAGTTTCTGTGGACCTGTCCGCCCGTTGTGGGAGTGCACTGTGCTTGTGCGCACTTGTGTGGCATTGTTTGGGATGACCTAATTAAAATAGCGTCCCCCCAGTAAAAAAATCCCCACTACACCACTGTCCCTCGCCCACAGTATTTTACTCAATATGTGCAACATTTATGTTGAAATAGCAGTAATACCAGTGCCACGTTCATTGATAAAATTACATAAGGGATGGAAAGGGGGAATGGCAGTTTTAGAAGGGGGATGATTTTGACCGTTTTTATTTCAGGGGGGATGCCATCCCCCCTCATCCCCCCTCATCCCCCCTCAACTTGAGTAATGTGTATTAGAAACGGGGGGTTACGTATTGCAACCCTAGTTCTATAAGCACAGGCGGAGTCCTCTACTGGACTCTATGGGTACTACCTCTTCTTAACCATACTATGCGAGCATTCACCAACTGAGATATCTATAAAAGTAGCCTGCCTTTCGGGGCGGGCCTACCTAAATGCGTGCGCAAGCCCACGTATATACCCCTGGTGTAGGATGGTGTACACCCCTGGTGTAGGATGACCCCTGGTGTAGGATGACAGTCAGGAGGCCACGCCTCCTGACTGTCATCCTACACCAGGGGTATTCAATCAACTAAAATTCAACGAGGTCCAGTTAGAGAAAATCTCACCATGCAAATGTCCGGAAATTCAAAATGTCTAACTTTATGAATTACTGTGATATATATTGAAGTAGCTGCTGTATCAACGTCTGCATGTAATCAACAACTGACTGCCAATCAAATAAAGAAAGTACAATTCAAAAACAACAATATTTATTGTCAATTAACATTGAACTATACAGATATACAGTAAATACTGTGGATATGTGTAATGTTCCTCTCGGGCTGCATTTAAAAATAAAAATAAATAAAACTGAGAAAATAAATAAAATATCTTTTGAAAATATGTGCATCTTAAAAGTTCTTAATTTTAGATAAATAAAATAAAGTGTAGCAGCAGCTTGAGTTTCCCTTTTTCTTTGTTAACCATTTCACATCATGACTTAACAGTTTCAGCCGATTATAGAACAATATCAGTCTTTACACATCATAACAATTGAACAGTTTGAAAGTTTCTCTTTCTTTCCCTCTTATATTGCAGTCCCTCACTCACTTGTTTGTTTGTTTTCAGTGCGAGAATTGAGCTCGAGCTTGTCCTGCCAGGAGTTTAAATCTGGGCTGAAATGGTGTCAGGGCCATTCTCCCACACACATGCAGGTGCTCATTGGTTAGCCTCGGTTAGCCTGCCCTGGAACGATGTTTAGTTTGAATTTTGATCCTGGTTGACTGATCATATTGGGCTCTGAGACTGCTTTTTGTGAGCTCAGTTCTGACTTGAGAGGGAATGTTTGGTCAAACACTTTGTGTTTTGTCTGTTATATACTAATAAAGGACTGGCTTATCTAAAGCCAGTTGAGTAGCACTTGAAATGTTTGGCTCTATGAAACCTGATGTACTTATATGATTCTGTTTTCTTCAAGGTTGTGTCTTCCTGGTCGAATGTACTTATTGTAAGTCGCTTTGGATAAAAGCTAAATGCAATGTAATGTAATGTCTCATAGTGGCGTTTTGGCACTTTTAATGAGCACCACGGTCTCTGAATGAGACACACTGGTTCTGTGCTCCCAGTGGGCAGGATGAACATGAATGAGTCCGTCCACTCAGGGTTAAAAGCTCTGTTCTCACTGTTCACTTTCCTCTTCTTGGAGAGCGCCATGTGTAATTATTTGTCTCTCCCTGTCTGCCGCTAACGCCTGTTCACTCTCCTGCAGTCTTCTCTCCCTGTATCGCTAATTATTCTCTTCACTCACTTT